GCACCATACATGGGCCTTTCGCACAACTTCTGCACGCAGTCTCTCCGGGCGGAACGGCCGGGGAGTGTTGCGCGATCACAGCGCATGCAGCTTTGCAAATCGCTTAGTCCCCTTCCATGGCCTGCTTGCACGGCTGTGCTCTGGATAATTCGTCGACAACGGCAGGGGAACTCCTGTGTCGGCTCCAGGATTCCGCAGTCCATGGTCACGAACGGGTATAGCCTCACATGCTCTTGCAAGTTTAGGTCTGCCCGACGCGAAGCGATCCTATTTCGGGGGCCCTCCAAGGTTGAAACAGGTCGAAACATCCGCACCTGAAATTTGCCGAGCGTCCGTGGCTGGAAGTGGCTGAGCCCAAATTCTCACAGCCTGCTGGACCAGAAGCGGGTGGTCCTCTAAGATGACGTAATTACGATACCAGTGAGGGCGCCAGCCTCAGGTGTCAAAGCCACGCGGGGTACATTCGGCTGGGAGGTTGCAAGACAGACAAGAAAAGGTGGCGCAGACCTCATGAAGCCAGGTTGCGCAGCGTGTAGAAGTGCTTCAAATTCTTCTTGGCCTGCCCTTCAAACGTGTAGCATCGCTTCCTTAGCCAGCGGATGCGCTACGCGGTAACAGGAAGCATTTCGCATTGAGGGCACGGCATCAGCCACTGGACGTGAGCGACCTGGGCGACAGTCCCTTGTTAGGAACCCCCATAGCAGTCCCCTGTATAACCCCCTTTAAGGAGTTTAGACTCTAGCTCAATTGCAACTGCCAAGCCATTCTCCCTGCCCGAAACGATGACATGGCAATATCGCGACCTAATCCCAACCCCTGCAAGCAGTGTCAACATAGGGGCACAGCCTGTCCAACTTCCTGTATTTCCTGCCGTGTGTGTTAATGTACATGGATGCACTGATGACGATGTATGGGAGTAGTGGGGAACCGCTGGGCAGTTCTGCGGGCATGCAATCGGGCCCCCTACTACACTGGTTGAGGGAAAACAGCCTTATGTCCAAGTTTGCTTTGAATCTTGCCAGCTGAGTTACTTTTCGGAATCCTTTCTCGCTCAGGAGCTCCGCCTCAGGAATCTGAAATGACCAAGGACAACAATCTACCTTGAGCATGTTGGGAACCAGAAGCAACAGAAAACATTGTTGAACTCATATGGGAGCTTTTATTGGCAAATAGCTTATGCAAAGCTTGCAGACCCTAGGGATATGCAAGGAGGATGATTGCAACGAGAGTGTCCAAGAGTCTCAGTAAAGGATTGCGCAGCTGGTACTTGGAAAAAATGGAATCGAGATTTGTGAAGAGCTCCTGTTCTGATGGTCTTGAACACTCGTGAATCATTCGTGAACATTCGTGAAGAGCGGCCGGGAAATCAAGCAAATGCTCATGATGTGTAGCTTGCACTCAAGAAGACTATATTATCCCTGTATAAGCCCCAGATGATCCCTGGCAGTCTCCATCTTTTCCATTATCCCTATATAACAAATGCTCCTGAGCCTTGGACCTGTACGGTTGCAAGGCTTTGATTGGAGGATCTTGGGCCCGCATGGTGAGGTGAGGCTTTTAGATTTCTGAGATTCCCCCTGCACCCTCCACATGTATAGTGCTACATTTTTGAGGTCCAAAACATCACTGGTCCGGGATCTACTATATGCATTCCTAGCGGCTGCTTCAACAGGCTTTGGCTCGTATCCTCTGATGCCCAACGTCTCCGAGCCCGTCCGCACGCCTGAACCACACGGGTCCCGACGTTTGGCAAAAAGGCACCGTTTTCCGACCAGCCCGGTCCTGGCAAGAAGAAGTGGGCGCGCTGGTTGACTTCCTGCAGGGGATCAACGTTGCGGCAAGTCGCAGGGAGGGAAAAGCTGTGACTGGCCTGGCACCAAATGGACTCCTTCTGAGGCTTCTCGACATTGCGCAGATTGCCCAAAAGCATTGGAAGCGGCGGCTCCTGCAGGTAAGCAAGCAGAAAACAGTGGCGACTTCACTCTGCATGCGTACAGCAGAACCCTAAGGCCTCAACTTCGGCCCTGAACCCAAACCCTACCAGCAAGCATCCTTAAGACACTTGTCAACCTCCTTTGGGCAGTCGCTGCA